TATAGGGTTCAGTGCTATTCACAGTTTCAAGCATCCACCGCTGGTCTTGGAATATATTTGCAATGGATAAGGGGGGACTGCTATACTAGCCTATTAAATTCATACCTGTGTAGCATAAAGACTTATTGGACTGATGCTTAATGTTAATAAAATATTTCTTGTGAGCTACATTCTTTTCTAATGGCGGTAAGCTTGCTTTGCCTCAGGTTTTCCATACAGTGCCCAATTTTGTTTAGGTGTTATGCCATAGGCACTGAGATGAATATTTTCTAATATTTCCTTGCACTTTACCATACATTTTTTAATATCCACAGTTAACTGTCCACCCTATTCCCCCAGTTTCAGGAACAGGGTGCTTAAGTTCCAGCATTTTTAGACTCGTGTTACAGAAAACTGTTTTGCAGATGACTGTATCTCAGTCTGAATATCTTGCAGGTTCTGCTTAATCTCTTGCATATATTCAACAAAAACTAATGGGGCCTGGTGTCTACTGACAAGCCACACAGGCTGCTACTGGCTGAGCATTTGCAGCTGCTTTCACAACTCTTCTAATGGGAAAGAATGTGGCTGTCATACTTCTAATCACTAGTCCTTAGTCACACCCTCCACTACCACAACCTCCAGCCAAGAGCATAATCCTAATATGGCAAATCGTGCTAGATACCTTGACTTCTTTTCTTACTAGATATCTAGAATATTAGAATTTAGAGCAAGTGACTCCATACCTGATTCATGGCTGGCATCTAATTTCCCATCATGAAGTGTTTAAGTTCCTATACTGTTGTTTGTATTTGCAAACTGTCTTGGCACTTACTTCATAACCGAAGTTACATTTTTCCTGAAAGTTGAACAATAGCTGTTGTGAAATAAATGTAAACTAATATTTTATAGAATGTGACAAAATAAGGTTAACTTCAGGGCTTGTTAACAGTGAGAGAGAAAGAGAGGTCATAATATCACAGAGACTAATCAGTGATTTTGTCTCCACACACTTGTGTGCAATAAAGCTGATGGTCTTGGCTCTTAATTTGAAGAAATCAATCTGAATTCAAGTTGAAGTTTATTTTCTTTTCCCCTGTGACTTTATTTTTGTTCGTTTGTTTGTTTGTTTTGTTTTTTTAGGAGCGGCAGCCCTTGGTTGACCTCACAGATTGCAAGGACCTTGTCATCTTATAATCCCTTATTTTTTTATTTTTTATGCCTATAGCACCTTGGTCTTCCTAGGTGGTCTCCCATTCAATTACTAACCAGGCCCAACCCTGCTTAGCTTTTGAGATCAGACAGGATCAGGCTTGTTCAGGGTAGCATGACCATAGACCCCTGTGACTCTAAAGAATCTAAATTAAAGGTGCTTATACAGTTGAAGACAAGAGTTTAGTGCTTCAGAGTTGCTATTAATTTCATCTGTATGTGTTAGTTTCAAAAAAACTTAAGATAAAAAGAATATTTTCCAACATGGAGTGTTCTTATTTAAAAAAAATTGGGATTCATTTTGATTACCCTAAACTTTTTATTGGAGTGATGAAATTTTGGACTGTGGTTGAATTTTCAAAAATTGTTGGAGAGAATAAATTGGTGATAGAATGTTAGGTATGGTTTAACTTTAAACAGAATCCAAGCTTTGCTGTGAGGTCATTATACCTGTGTGTTTCATATTCTAATTCTAAGTGGTCACTGAGATGCTTAAATTGCAAGATCTTTCTTTTGTGCTTGGAGATGTAGTAAATCAGGTGAGTATAATAAAGTTTTAAAATTACTTTTAATGAAAAAATTTGG